GGTCGCGCTGTCGCTCGTATCCCCCGTGTCTCCGGTGGTGGTACTCACCGTGCCGGTCAGGCCGCTTTCGGTAACCAGTGCCGTTCCGGTCGTATGTTCGCCCCTACCAAGGTCTGGCGCAAGTGGCACCAGAAGGTCAACGTTGGCCAGAGGTATGATGAGATTCCGACCGATGAGGCAGAAGGAGAGGAACTAACGGCTGTTATTTAGACGTTTCGCTACTGCCTCTGCCCTCGCTGCTTCTTCCGTTCCTTCTCTTCTGTTCGCTCGCGGTCACCGCGTTGCCAACGTTCCTGAGGTCCCTCTGGTCGTTGACTCCAAGACCTTCGAGAACTCCGCTGTTACCAAGACCAAGGCCGCCGTTGCCCTCCTCCAGGCTGTCGGTGCCGGTGCCGACCTCGTCAAGGTCCAGAAGTCCCGCAAGATGCGTGCCGGTAAGGGTAAGCTGAGGAACCGCCGCTTCCGCCAGCGCCGCGGTCCTCTGGTTGTCTACAACCCCGAGGTTGATGGCAAGGACCTTGTCCGTGCCTTCCGCAACATCCCCGGTGTTGAGACCTCCTCCGTCTTCTCCCTCAACCTCCTCCAGCTCGCCCCCGGTGGTCACCTCGGTCGCTTCATCGTCTGGTCCTCCGCTGCTTTCGAGGCCCTCGACAAGGTCTACGGCACCACCACCACCGCCTCCGCCCTCAAGAAGGACTACCTCCTCCCCCAGAACGTTGTTGCCAACGCCGACCTGGCCCGTCTCATCAACTCTTCTGAGATCCAGTCCGTCCTCCGTGCCCCCAAGGGTGAGGCTCGCACCAAGCGCACCAACATCCAGAAGAAGAACCCTCTCCGCAACAAGCAGGTCATGCTCCGTCTCAACCCTTACGCTGCTGCTTTCTCCAAGGAGAAGCTCGGCCAGCAGACCGTTGAGTCTGCCAAGCCCGAGCGCGCTTCCAAGGACTTCCTCAACACCCTCTACGAGGCGTAAGTTAGTGGTCCGGGGTTTCACGCTGGGAAGGTATGATATGAGATTGTTTTCGGTTTAAAAGGTAGCACCAATGAACAGGTTCGCAATACCCATAATGAATTAGTAGTTTTTTTCAGTAGCTTTCCAGTAGACGCTTCTGACGTAGTGCTTTCTACACCTGACATGTTTCTGAGATAAAAGAATCGACTACATTGATGTGCTCGGTATCTCTTGTACTTCCAATCCTCTATCCATCAATACACTTCAATGCTTCGACTGAAGAATAACCGCATTGAATTTGAATCACCACCCACCTATCTACCATCATTCCGATCATTTTCCACCCTACAAAGCGTAGCTCTAACAAACAATCAGCCATGCATAATCTCCTACACAACACCTAGAAGTACACATAATCAGTCAGACCTTCATGTTTGGCTAATTATCAAATCTGACCAACCCAGCCTGCCATCTATATCTACCCCTGCTATAACCCAGGATGACCAGCCCGACTCAATCACAAACAAGCAAACATGTGAACACCTATGCCACACTACTTGATTCCCTAGTTATTATCGCCGAATTGACCCGAGGATTGATTCTTGTTTGTTATTTTGCTGGTTTCAGGGATGAGATACATAATTGATTTGGTACAGCTGGGAGGTACTTTCACATGATAAAGTGAACCACAACTGAACAGTTACCAGTGATTTAGTTACCTTTACTAACCAATATCAAAACGGCGGTACCTAGTATCCAATCAATTACTAACTCTCTTTACTATACTGCACTTCGATTCGAGGATATCGCTAACCAGTTACATCAACCGACTAAATAATACGTAAGTAGTCAATAGTAGCTGTCGGGTTCGGGACTTGCATCGGGATATATGAATACCCACATTACTGGACTGCAACTACTGTCTAGACGAACGGACACGGACCTTTAAAAAGTTAGTTAGTAGTAGTTCTGCTTAACTAAGGTGGCTATGTTTTGCTGCAGGCGACATCAATCAACTACTACTAAGCTATATTAGTAGAAAGTCAAATACAAGACAGTCCAAAGTTTATATATATTATTTTGAAACCGATGGAGCAGAAGCAACAGTAGCAGGGGCATCATGCCACCCATGACAATTCTTCAGTTTTACTATTAGTTATTACTCACTACCCCTATTAACGTAGTAGTAGTGTTGAATTGCAGTAGGATATGGCAGATCGTAGTTAGGTATAATGGGCATTATGATACCGTAGTAGTAGTTTACCGCCCAAATATCACTACTACAATGCACAACAACTACTTGAGTATACATACTCACATACTGGAATATATAATAGAGCATTCAATACCCTCAACCCCAGCAATAGGGTAATAGTTTATCCAAATTATCCGAAAGATGGTAATTAATTATCTAGTCCTTTAAATTCTCACAACATAACAAACTCTACCAATAAACAATTCAATCACATCCTGGTCGCAACTACTACCCGAACTCACTTACTAACGCACTTTAGTACGGAGTATGCCTTAGATCCTCCTCCTCCCAACTAGTAACTACAAACTACTGCAACTTCATTCCCTCCCAACAAATCAAATCTCTCATGTGCATTTGCGCAGAAGGGTTAGTCTGGTGCTTTTGTTCGACAGGGGGGTGGAATCTAAATTCCTTTTTTCCTTCCTTCTGACTACTCCGTTGGTCCGTCGGTGGTGTGCCTTTTGCTTTTGCTTTTGGTCGGAGGTCGGAAGTTATCTGGGGCGACAGTTAACTAGTACTGTATCTATCTAGTATCTACCCTAGTGTTGGTTTACTTCTGGTGGGATGGATGAATGGATGGATAGATGAGCCCGGTTAGATCCGAAATGAACTTACAGTTGCTGTGCTTACTACTAAGTTATTTAACAGACTATCCTGGTTATTAGTAGTGCTTGTATTATTATTATAATTTGGAGTTGTTATTGTAAGGCGTTATTTGGGTGGTTTTGGCTGTCAGTAAGTGGTGGTATTGTCTAACTTCCACTTATGCATTATTTCATTAGCGATGGACATAACTCAAGTACGTAAGTACTAATAATTATGAATATAAATCTGAACATCATCATGACGGATTCTAGATATCTGTCCATATCCATCCACCTCTCGGTCGCGTACATACTACTTACTCACTTAGGTACGTACTACGGTAGGTAGGTAAGTACCTGATACTGCAGATCGAACTGACACGCAATACTTTAACGAGAATAAAAAAAATATTAGAAAAAGTTATGACTCTATGGCATACTACGTAGTCAGTAAAAACTAGCTACGGATGAAGAACCAAAAACCGATAAGGATCATCAAACAACAAAAAAAAAAAAAAAAAAAAAATTTTTTTTTTTTTTTTTTTTTTTTTTTTTTTTTTGACTCATCGGCATTTGACCTGATCACGGCAAATGGGAAAAGTCAGTCAACTTTCTTTCCTTTTCCTCGGGGCCCGCGGTGACCCTCCCTCTCTCTCTCTCTCCACTTTCCACTTTTCACTGCGTATATAGTAAGTATTAGGTAGTATCTATCTATCTACTTATGGTGTGAGTTGCGAGGTAAATATGAGTAAGCAAGTAAGTGTCAAGTCACACGTAAAGGGTATGTTTCACAAGCTTTGCTTGCTTGATTGACTGTGGCTCGGCTTTTCCGCGATTTTCAGACTCATTTTTTTGTCTTGACCGGGGGGTGCGTGCCAAGCCCCTCTGTTACGTATGTTAGTGGTTCGGCTCGGTCCACACTTTTGTTTCTCTTACTCTTTCTCTTTCTTCTTCTTCTTCTTCTTCTTCTTCTTCTCTTTCGTTCTCGTAGAGGGGAAGGGGAAAGAAACTCAGGGGGTACGAGGGGTTATTATATCATAGAAATTTTCTCTTTCGTAGTTATATTAGCTTGAAGGATGGAATGGAATGACTCTCACATGCTAATTGGGGGGTTGTTTGTATATAGTTGGTATAAATGTATTGCGGGACATCCGGATATTTAGTGTAGGCTTAGGTTTCTTATTGTGTCTCTTATTATATTATTTTATATTATAACGTAGTATCGGGCGTTATTATTATTCCTGCGGTGCGCTTATATTACCTTTCTAAGTTCTTGTAGGTAGATACACACCTGAGGGATAAAAATCGCTTCAATATACTCGGTTGGGTGTGGTTCAGGGACGACCTTCCTAACTTTTCTTCATTTGTATCCCCGGAAGAGAACCTAACTTTAGCACTTCCGGCCGAGCACAGTACACCGTGTACTTCGTACTTTGTGTCATGATCTCTCAGGGATGATGGATGGCGTGGATAGTATCTTAGCTTCTCCCGGTCCATGCTTCCTCTGATAGCCGAGGTGGTCGACCCTTATTTTTTCCTTCTTTTTATTTTTTATTTTTTTTCCCCTTCTCAAAAATTACCTTCGGCCAACTTTCAAGGGCCCGTAGTTCGTGGGATGCCCAGTCAGCATAACTTGAAACTCACACCTTATCGACCGATTCGGTTTAACTTCCGGAGTGATTGAGCAAGCGAGCCTTCATGATTCAGGACGCCAGACACGCTACCATGGACTATTGATCCTCAACGACCCCCACCTCATCCCACTTTGGCGCCGCGGCTACAACAAGCTTTTGGGCTAAAACCGTCGCCTGCAGCCTGTGATGTGATGGTCGGGGTGGCAATATCATTAGCATATGTCGGGTGTACGTACCTGTGATGCATCTCGCACTGCTCGCCTACTATTAGCGTAGCGGTTGCGTCGCTGCCGGGGTGTTTTGCATACTGGGTGGTAATGATGGATGAATGGGGAGGGGAGGGGGGAGTGGGATCGACGGACGGGTTTTGTCGGGTGGAGTGGATATGTCTTCGGCCGGAGATGGCGCCTGCGAAGTTGGAGTAAGTGGTATCTAAATTCTTAAGTAGTTAGACTAGTATCTGTCTGGCTCGGTGTTATTATTAGTTGATAATGAATTGAATAATGCAACCTTACTTTGCATAGTTTGCCTGCCAAAAAGGATGACCGACGGACGGACACAATGCTGAATGTAATTGATGCGATATTTATTCGTCCTTGAGACACCAATATGCGACGACACAAGCACACTGTCTCACCCCCTCCGGCGCTAGTTGATCCTATCGGAGAAGACCCAGGGGGTTCCGGATATGGACTCCGACCATTACGGCCGGTCGCTGAACAGAGAGCATCCTCCGTCCCTCTGGACTGGTCCTTGTTTAGCCCTAGTGCCCCCCCCTCCTCTCCTTTCCCCCTTCGTTGTTGGGTGTACGGGCAAGATGGCCGTGGCGAATGTGACGGCGGAGATTGGCATTACAGATGTGGTAGATCCTGGTGCCGAAGGATGCCGGTGAGACACTAGAACTTTAGGGTGCAGGACGTTGGAGTCGGTTATTTAGCCCACGGACCAAACCAGTAAACCAGTAACCACAGTATATCTTAACAGACTACTGTTGGGTAATTGTGTGCTCTCCGATGATAACCACCACCCTGTCGGGGCAAACTACCGTGCCCTCTGCCTTATGGCTATATCTCCGTCCGTTATTCCGCTACTAGCAGGGCGAAGGAGTGGTTCCGACGGGGACGGAGGGCAACAATGTCCATTTAAACTCCGCTCAAACTAGGTGCGGGAAAGGCATAGGCCGTGTTCCCTCCTTAGTATCTCATATATTAGGCGGGAGGTCAGGGCGAGAGCACGGTTGCTGTCATCCTTGTAAGGGAACCAATATGAGATGCGTCGTGGGGAGGGACAGTCTCCCGTCCACATCCCATCTGTTGCGACTTGCGAGTTACTTCGTCCATAGTATCATCCTTGAGGGATGAGAAGGCCCTAGCAAGTTTTTACTTGCATCGGAATGCTGGAACGCCCGGCAAGCCCGCCCAATCTCGGGTTATGTTCGGGAAAACACAGATCTGATCTAATCGCACCAATCAGTGGGTTATGCCGCGGGTTTTTCCAGCACTGGGCGTTCGGCATATGAAAGAGTAGGGTGTCAATATTTGGAGTAGGCAATCTCAAGGAAACCCGGTCAGATTATTGCCCGTGATTTCTAAATTGATTAAATTTGCTTTACCCCCCCTCCTTCTTACTTCATTTCCGGTTGGCGCCAACTGTGGGATCGGTGGGCGAGATCGTATGATAGTGCTTAGCACGGCCGTAGGGTGAGAGCCTCCGGCCCACTGTTGGAGGGGTGGGATTGGCTTTTCAAGAGGCCATCCATGTTCCTGGCTGGGTGTTGTCGATGCTGAAGATGACAGAAAATCTGCAGTACATCTCTTGCGACACGGGAAACAAAAGACTCGTCAACATTCCGCATGGCCTTCGGGATAGGGTTTTCCGCGAATAAAAATCGCTATCCAGTCAGTCGAGGCTGGACCGTCAAGCTGTCTGCTACACACTTGACGGTGCAGATCGGATCGCCCGAAGATGAGACAAATCCGACATCCCTCCTTGGACCAAACGGGCGTTGTTCCCGACGGGCCACAAACCGTTACAGGAGACACCAAACTCAAAATCCCAGCCAGCCAGCAGCAGCATCAAAGCAGTCTATCCAGCCAAACGCATCGATATTAACCGCCCCAGCGACAAGACTAACACGAAACAGAAAAAGAAAAACAAGAGAAAAAAAAATTCAATCAAATTAAACCCAAAAGAAAGAAAGAAAGAAGACTCACTACTCAGGTCAGAAAAATGAAAAACCGTGGCCCTCCGGCTCGCAGACCCTCATCTGTCCGTTTTCCGGATACGCCCAGTCCACTTGGTTCGCTAGTCCCCACGAATGACAGGCTCGCGATCCTCGATGGGCTGAGGGACTGCTGCGAACTTGGGAGGCTGTTCCTTGTACCCTCCCCTGGGCTTTGCTTCTCATCCTTCTCATCTTTTTCCCGGCTTGGAGTCAATGCTCCACTCGCGTAAGGACGGACTACGGAGGTTTCCGTACTGGCCACTAGCCAAACGATAAGCTGGTGGATTTTGAGCCCTCGGGGGAGTCGCAGTGCTTGCTCACCCTGGCTGGCTGTGGGAGTCTGTAGTGATCTCTCTCCTGAACACACTGATGAGGTTGTTCGTCCGAGTTTGGTCAGTCCGGCCGAAACAAGTCGGCATATCCAGTGGCTCTCTCGGACGGGGGATTTCTTTCTTGTTGCCAGCCTGGCTCTTTCCTTCATGTGCGGATCTTTTTTTCCCATTTCTGTCTTGAATTTTTATTTGATTTTCAATTTATTTTATTTGTCCTCTTTCGTTTTTTGTTCTTTTTACTATGGTAATTGATTAACCATTGCCCACCACCTCCTCTCCTTCCCTCCTCTAACCGGAGCCCCCTAATTAGGGCGATGACTTGCCAAGTGTGCACTATGTCGGGGTTGGCAACTTTCATAGGGCCCAAAATCCAGTCTTTCCGCGTTGGCCTTCTCTTGCATTCCGAGTATGGGAACGGACGACCAAGTAGTGTCGAGCCTCGCAAGTTTGCTGCACACCATGATGACTACAACGGCAAGAGATACTTAGTAAGAAGGAACAGACGCATTGTCCCGATCAAACGAAACAAGGTTAATTGCAACTGCCGTTCCGAAAAGATTGTGCTTGTCCCGTGGTCGGTGGTCGCATGAGCGTCTCCTACCCATGACTAACGGCTGGAGCTGGCAATGGATCGTTCCGAACACCAACGAGGATCCTCCTGCGGGGCGTCGGGTTGGAAAACCTAATCATGCTCATATTAAAACAGATTCAAAGCCGGCCAGTGTCAATAAGGAGAGACCACCTGCCACCCACAGCTACCCTCCCAAAGACCAGATTGAGAAAGGATGCCGGAGAGTCTGACGATATCTAATACCGACCCGTTCCAAAGTCTAAATGCCACCTTGCTCCTCCATGGCATGATTACGCTGGAGATGAGGACCAGGAGGCGGCGGCGGCGGCGGCGATGATGATGATGATGAATCTAGATAATCAACTAATGAAGGACTCTCGGTGGATTCGATCTCAGCCGGCACCTAATATGAACCGCGCCCGGTGGCAGTATCCTTTTGATATACCCGGGCCGGCCATGACGACTGTCGACACACTGCCAGGGAGGATTTATCTAACTACGTACCATCTATTGAAAGGTGAATAAACTGGATGTAATCAATAATTGCCCGATGGATGGACGGACGCTTCGCGTCTCCGTTGGGAGTGGAGCTGGTCGAAGCTGAACCGAGGATGCAACTGAAAGTTGAATGCCGAAGGGGACAGAGGGAGGAGACTTCCGGCCCGCAGTAAGAATAGTTCGATAGTAGGGTGTATACTACTCTGGGATAAAGTAAACACGATCCAGAGCATCTAGACTATCTAAGATGCCGGATAGTACGGGTTGATTGGGTGGGTTGGGAGGGCCTCCGTTAAACCGGAACTGTTGCGAAAAGTGGACTGGCAAGCGTTGGAAATAAACCAGGCTGGAATTGTGAACCAGGCTTCGTTCTCTCTGTGTGTGATCATCCTGATCTGGATCGGTCATAAGTTGCCTTTCCATTAAAATATGCTCAATTTGCCGAGCTTGGATGGCAGGTTGAAAGGATCCTCAGCTAGACGGCCAGGCACTGACTGGATTATCGTATCCTCCTATCCTCTCTGCTCTTCTTCTTCTTCTTCTTCTTCTACTACTACTTCTTCTCTCTTTCTTGTCTCGCTCCTACTCTAACCGACTCCTCCCTCTTATTCCTCCTGATCCCCTTTCTTCGTTCTCTCGTTCCTTTTCTCTGCTTTCTGCCCCCCTTTGATTCCCAGTCATTCCAATGACCGTGATTCTTATTACTATTCAAAAATCCCCGATCCTCCCCGCTCTAAATTAATCCCAGCGTGTCCCTCCTTTGAACCTGGCGTCTCCGCCCCTCTACCCTACTACTACTTCTACTTTACTACTACAGTCCTTAGCACCGGCCAAACCTGACAGGGGCATTCCCACCTTGGCCTCGACTAAGCAACAGCGCTATTTAACCACAATTGCTCCATCCTCATCCTATCCAGTGCCCCGCGCTATCAGGCTTTCTTATTTTTTATTTTTTTTTTCTCATCTGGTGCTGGTGCAAACTGGCTGTCTAGCTCAGGGCCCAATATTATTATTATTATTTTTTTTTTTTTCCCTTTCTACTCCTCATTAGTGGCAGGAGCCATTCGACAAACATCAGGCCAGCTTGACCACTGACCACTGACCAACTGAACCAACCAAAATACCTCGGAGCGGCTCTTGCAGGGTGATTTAGTTGATATTACTACTACACTCCCAGGAGATCTGTAATTTGGGCGGTTGTCTTCCGGGGCTGCTGGTTAGTTGTTTATAATTCTTGGCCTACCTGCACCCCCTGGGGCACTATCAGCTCAGCAACAAACAGCCTGGTTTCCATGCTAGTGTTGTCGTGACTCTAAAACCCTGCCCTGCCACGGTCCTGCCATTGTACTCTTCCGCCCCCATCCTTCTCCCTGTCCCATCTGAAACGGAGACTGCTGCGCATCTCGGTTTTGTTGTCTGGTACACACAAAACCTACCTATCCCCTCTCAGCGAATCTGGTCTGGCGAGAACCCAACAGCGTTGCAGATTACGGAGACTTTACATCTTCTGCACGGGTCTATGCGTTTTGTGGCAAACATTGGACCTGTGAAGCGATACAGTCTGGGAATGGCGAGGTCGACCCGAATTACAAGCGTGTTACGGTCATTTGCGCCATGAGTATCATCCTTTAGATGCTACCTTCGTTCTTCCCCCATTTACCCGCAACCAGAGTGCAGGGTAACTCGCAAGTGAGCCCGCTTGATGCGGACTTAATCCTGCCATTGCAGAATCTCCATTATTTGAACGGCTATTTTTGAGTGTGTAATCTGTTTCAGCCCTTCAGCCCTTCAGCCCTTCCTGTTCTCACCTCCCCGGCCGGGCAGCGATCGACCTACTATTTACGGAGGGGCAATCGTGCTTCTCGAACGGCGAACCCAGAAACAAGCTACAACACCAACCTTTATTTTTCTCTTATTAGCATCAAAATTGTATTATTTGCTGGCCTGCTGACAGTAGTGTCTCCTTGAATCTGAACGACTGGAGGCAACTTGGTAGGTTGACACGCCTTTTTGGAAAACATCGAGTACGATGACGTGGTTGCTAATCCCCTTCCCATCTTGGTAGGCTCGCTTTCTACTATTCTCCTCTCCTGAAGTACGAGAATTCACCGGTCAAAACCAAGAAGCCGTTTCTGTAGGGGC